ATCATGACTCATTTACTTTCTTAAGAAACTTTCAGGTTTTCCTGGAGTTAAAAACTGCATTGGCTCTTGTTTGTTTGCTTTGTTTTCTATGTATCAATTACTAAGTTTTCACTAATTTTCCCATACAACTGTAAAATTTTTCTTAACACTACTCTCTACATGATCAAACACATCAGGTAATCTATCAGTTAATTAAAACATTTTTTTTTCCTCTAAAGACTACCCTCCTGTATCTCTCCATCTTCCTACTCTCCTCCGGCCTGGCCAGTCTCTAGCTCTACAGCTCAAACTTTCATTATCATCGGGGAAGTCCCTTCACCTCTTTCTTATGCTCATCTCTTATTTCTGGATGCCTTCCTCTTTCTTGGTTTACTCTCTCATATGATGGAATGTGTATTTCAGTGGCTTCCTGAGAAGGGAGGTTTAAATTTTATATCATTTACTACTCCTCAACATGGACCTTTTGCTCCTACAGGCAGGTCCACTTACCATTTACTGGAATATTTTCACCTCCAAATCTTTGCCATTTGTCTTGGTTAGAATGCTCTCCTACTTCCTGTCTGTGTGTCCAAATGCTGCTTGCATTTTCAAACTAATTTTTATTTTTATAAAAATACTGCATGTGCATAGTTAAAAAGTTAATTATAAAGCTTGTAAAGAGAAAAAAATGGTGGAAGTCCATTATTTCATTCTTTTCCAATCTCAATCTGTGCTCCTAGAGGCAAGTATTATTCATTACTTTAGCTGTTTCTTCTGGTATTTACCTCCTTATTTCTAAATAAAATAACTATAGTGATACATTTTGACTTAATGACTTATCTTGGAAGATAAAGATTTAGTCTTATGCCACATCCTCTCTAACCTCTTCTCTGTCTATCCTCCCAATATAGTTTGGGAGGATGTAGAATTCTGAATTAGAAATCATTTTCTCAGAATCTTGAAGGCCAAACTATAATCCAGTGAATTCACTGTAGTTCCTCGTGATTGCTTCTACCCTTCCACTGTAATGAAATACCTCATCCTTTTAAGTCGGCTCTAGAACCTTGTGTGCCTTTGATTACTGGAATATACCCACTTCCTTTTTTTGAAAAGCAACCCAATATGAGATCATCCACAATCTCCTTGGACTTCTGCTCTCCATGATTACTAACCTCATTTGTCAGTACAGTACCTGCGATGTAATTAATATGGGCTATTTGGAGCACTGTACCAGAGTGCCCTGATCTCATCTGACAAAGTGGCATTAAAGCTGAGATCTGAAAGATGAACAGCAAAGGCTGTGAAAGCATTCCCCGCAGAGATGGTTGCAAGGAAGTGCCAAAGCTGTCAGGGGAGAAGGAACTTTGGGAACTCAGGGGAATAAAGGTGGCCAGTGAGGTGGAGCTTGGTGAGTAAGGGGGAGAGTAGGCTCACCAGAGGGTACAGAGGAAGGCAGGGGTCAGAGAATTCGGAGCCTTGTAGCTGATGTTAAGGCAGGATTTGGCACTTATCCTAAAAGCAACAAGAAGCTACTCAAAAGTCATAAGCAGGGAAATGATTTGATCTGATTTGTCTTCCAAAAATTTCTGTGGTTGCAGGGTGGAAAATGAATCAGAGAGGGCCAATAGTTAGGAAGATACAGGTAAAATTAGTCTCAAATATAAACATTAAGGCCAGCTTTGGAAGGGAGAAAGAAATTTCAGATGGGCAAAAGGTAGTCTTATGAGTATGTTTGAAAGCTCAGCAGAGATTACTGGATTTTTTCAACTGATGGCAGTAATACGGATACAATTTCTTTTTTCTCTTTTTTTAGTATTAGACGGAGGAAGTGACTCCTCCTTCCACCATCCCCCCTCCTGCTGGATCCCTTAATTGCTCATCAATTGATTGATCCCAGAAGCAATTTGCTCCTCTCCTTCCCAAACCTGGACTGCATCCAGTGCCCCAGTGGGTGTTCTGCCCATTTGCCATGGTAAGATTTCTGAGGGGTTGAGGTAGAGGGTGGAAAAGAGCAAGGGGGGGTGGGAAATAGAGAAGGGCTTCTAAGGGGCTTACACAGAAGTAGGGCAGCAGAATTGAAATGGTCAAGGGAGGACCCTTTCCCTTTCCTTGCTGAGACAGTACGCATCATGTCCAGCCAAGATGGTAATAAGGACAGAAGACTGCTTGACAGGGGCTTCTGAGGCAGTCAGCTGATAGGCCACAAGAGTTAGTGTTAAATACCATGGGTTCTGACAGTTTAGACAGGAGGTAGTTTTTGCAGTTCTGTTTATGGAATTGGCCGAATTAAAATGCTGGCTGATGGTCTGCTCTTCATAGTCATTGACAACAGCTTTCTACAACACCTGGGTTTTCTTTGGAAACTGTGAAGAGGCACCGAAAAGAACAAAAATAATTTCTTCTTGCCTTAAAAAAAAAAACAACTCACAAAGGAAAGTAATTCTAAAGGATGTGTGTGAGAGTAACTCTAATCTCAGGTTGAGTTTGGATATAGAAAGAAATTACCTTGCATAAACTTCATGTTTTGCTGAGCATATTTGATTTATGCAGAACTGCATTTTTATAGTCTAGCAAATTAGTCAGGACCCATGAGTATAGGTGTTGTGATGAAATAAATTCAGAGGACACAGAGATGGTGGAATTTCAATAACAAATGAAAATATGACCAACAATACTGCCATACCTTGGAGGATTCGAAACACCTTGCTTTTAAGCTGGGCAACACGGCAATGGCATGTGAGTGAGTTTTCACACAATGGTGTGTGAGAGAATACTGCAAAACAATTTGCAGTTCTCTAAATTTGTTGAAGTTGATCTGTTTGAATCTATAAGCTAAGTACACTCTTTTCCATTTACTTAACAAAACTGTATATGGAAAGATATTACTTATTATTTACTAATAACCACTTGCATCCCCAAATGTCTAAATTCATTTTCTATTACCTATTTTATTGATAAGGATGTATTTTATTGATGAGGATTTTAGCTTATGCCTAGAACAAATGATAATAACCTCTTCTGCCCTCAAATTCCAGTCAGTATCTAGAATAGTGCCTGCCACATAGTAGGTATTCAACAAATCGTGAATTAAATTACATTAGTCGCTCTGCTCAGTAAAAGTAAAACCAGAAAATAAACCCCTTCTATTTGAAAATAAATATTTGAAATAGTACAGAGCAAAAAACTTTGATCCATTTTGCCAAAAAAGTAAACATCCTCATATTTGGTTAATAGACTTCTAACATAAACCTTAAAAATCACTAGATATAGCCCCAAGTGTGGGCAAACACAAAGGACCATAATAGGTAAAGAATTGGAAACGTACGGTTTTACTTCTTGGCAATTAGGACAGTTTGGGAACATACCTTAATCCTGCATTGGCACTTCAGTGAGGATGTGGCTCACAGAATCGAGTTCGAACTTCCTACGGTGTTTCAGAAAGTCCTTTTTCTGAGGGGTTTTAGTGTTCCTTCAGGCCGTCCCTGCCCATGCATCCTGGGCGTCTGCCAAAACGGCTTGTTTTTTTTGTTTTTTGTTTTTTTTCCTTAGGTTGTCTTGCACTTCCTCACCGACCTCTCACTCCACCCCGGACTTTGCCCCACCGAGCGCCTTATAAAAGTCTTCTCCCATTTCAAGGTCCAGTTTAACCTCCAGCACTTTCGAGAAAGCTTCCCTTTTCAGATGCGCCAGCACTCTCAGCACTTGGAACCTCTCGTCTAGCAGCCATTACTTTCTAACCTGTTGTTTTTGCACGTGGGTATCGTATCCCCTGACCAGAGTGCGGCAACCCCCCTCCTCCCGTTGGGGAGGTCTTTTAAGAGGTCGCCGTGCCCAGCCCCTAGCACAGTGCCTGGTACAAAGAGAACGCCCAGTAAAGGTCGGTTGAAATGAATCTAAACCCCAGACGGGAAAGGGAGAGCGCCTGTGCCCAGCAGTAAAGGCCCTTCACGACCTAAGGGGAGGCCCATGGTGCAGCCGGCCACTGTCGCCAGCGCTACACTGGCAGGGAAGGTGGCGCGACAGAGGCTCGTGGAAATGTCTTTGAACTCCCTTTACTTATTTCTCCTTTACTTTTGCAGAGGAATCTGAATGTTCTGTTCCAACAGCCTCGGGGCACGCCATAAAGGGCGGTGCGAGCCAGGCGAGGTGGGGGTTGGGATGGCAATTCTTGACTCCGCTTTCCTATGCAAATTTTAAAGTTTCGCAAATTCCAGTTCTAAACTAGGAGCCGAGGGTGTAGAGGGTTTCCCGGTGCAAAATTTTCGCGTCCCAGGGAAGGCTCCGGGCATTCGGGGCTTTGCCTCACGTATCCTTTTCACATTTCCCACCGCTGGGAATTTACCAAGCACTCCTGGCCTCCACATCCAGCCCGAGCGGAGAACCGCGGTTCGGCCCAGAAGTCTCAGACGCTTCCTCCTTCAACCCTCTGGGCAAACCCCGTGCGGGCGAGTGGGGGAGCTCCCAGCCCGCGGTACGAGGCGGAATAGGAGTATCGCGAGACTACAACTCCCAGGCTGCTCTGGGAGAAGCGAGGGGGAGGAGCGAGAGGGAGCGGTTTGGGGTAGAGGGGGTGGCAGGGAAATCCCGCCCCGCTGCGCAGCAGCAACGACACAAAGCCTGACTTTACAACCTTACAGAGAAAGTGGAAGTATGACGGCTTAGGTGGGGAGGCAGGACAAGAGAAGGAACCAGAGGAGGGAAAGCAGCGTAGGTGGGAGCGGAGCGAAGCGAGGATAGTGGCGAGACCCGCGCCTTTCCAGATGAGGAGGGGCGGCTTTCATAATTAATACCCCCGCCCCGCCCCGCCCGCGCCGGGGTCTCCACAGCCCCCTGCGGGTCCCCATTCCCCGCGCAGAGCCCG